GCATCCTTTTAAAACCAGAAGGCTGCTTTAATGTTTTTTTTTCTTTCAAAAAAGAACTCTTGATTTGTCTGGCTGATCCATCCCTTTCGGTCTTAAAGAGTCCCTTCTTGTTTTCATTCAAAGCTTTTTGACTGTTACATAAATGTAGCCAGAGAAAACCCAGAACGAATAGGCAAATCATGTTTCTATCAGCAAAAGAATTAGCACTCTGCTTAGCCAAGGCTTACATGCTAAAGCCCAAATAGCCTATTACATAAACTATTTTTCCCATCCAACCCAGTGGAGAGGTAAACTCGTGGAGGGGTGGGGTGGGGGAGAGGACCCCCCCCTGCAGAGTCTTCCTAGGCTCAGGCAGAGCCTGCTTCATCACTCCAGGGCTGGAAGCAAGGGTGAGCGAGCTCACTGACGCCAAGAGATTCTAGCACTACCCGCAGCAGGTGGGACCCTTTCGCCAGAAGCCCTTGGGAGCAGACCTTAGGGGATTGGGGAATTCGCCAGCTTCGCTTTTTTTGCATTTGATCTGTTCCAACCTCATCTTTCCATCCAAGGTATGAAGAAGACATTGGCCAACTTTTGGTAAGCTTTTCCTAATAAGAAAAAAACCCCAAGGAATTCTCCTGCTTCTCTACCATCCACACTCAGCAGGTACAAGCCGGTGCTTCTTGAGATGTTAGCTGGCACCGTTTCAGGGCCCTGTGGCGAAAGGGCAAGCATGAGCTCAAACAGCTGTCGAAGGGTTCTTGGTCTGAAACCAAAAAGCTTCCTCCATATGTAAAATTGAGCCTAAGACCTGGCTCGCTGCCATGAAGATTTTCTACATATAAAGAACGGTTTGTTTCTGTAACATGCCTGGACCCCACTCCCCTTCCTACAGCCACATTGACTCTGAAATGGTAGGATCCTGCTCCAGGCACATGACATGGTGGAACATCTGCCCACATGTTCCAGTTCTTATTCACTGATCTGGTGCTTTGGGGATATAACTGCAACTGAAGAGTTTTGCAAACATCCGCTTTGTAGGGTTGAGTTGGAGATTCCCTCCCGGATAAAACTCCACAGGGACAAAACGAAACAGCTGAGCAGAGTTTGGGGCTGCCAGGGCCACCCTAAACTGCAACCCTCCCTGGAGAGGCCCCCCCGGCTGTAGGAAGAGCTTCTCTTCCCCTTGACCCAGAGCCACCCTGAGAGCTCAGCGCTCCCTCTCTACCTCCTTCCTTCCCTCCCTCTCTCTTACTCTCCCAGCGAACAGAATGTTCCATTGTTAGATCAGATAGGAGTCCGTGCAACCCTCTCTGGGCCATTTTAAACAAGCTTCCTCCCTTTGCTATTGAGGACAGAACTTCTCATTGTGGAAAAGTGCCAGCCTGGCCTTCTGATAGCAACAGATCTGAAAAAAGGTTTCCAACCACCACATTTTACAAAAGTGATTAAACCGAGCATCTTTTGCAGCCCCAAGTCCATGCAGCTGGGGACGGGGGGGGGGCACTCATTAATTTAGAAAGCCAGCAAGCCAACCCACCAATCCGGTCAAATCTGTGGGAGTGGAGTACTGGTCTATCAAGATGGAAGATCCCTTGCAGAAAGAGGCAGCCCCCTTCCCATGCCTTGTTTTCCACAGTGGCCAAAGACAGGCCTCCAGGGAACTCAGTATTTTCCCCAAGTTAACCACTTTCCAGACCCCACTGGCAGTGCTGTCTTGCTCCCGATTCTGCCTACCAACAATGAGTTACCCATCCAGATCCTTAATGCTGAACATTTCCAGCCACTCACAAATCTCAGTTCTCAAAGTGCATTTCCTAAGACTTCCACACAGGCTGGGTACGTGTCTAGACTGAACACTCCTGACCCACCACCTCTAATGCTACTTCCACAGAGGCATAATCACAAATCTGAAATGGTCTGATGCCTTCTGTGGCTCAAAAATATAGTTTGCCACAATTAAGCCCCTGGAAAGGACGCAGAACCCACAATTGCTATGCAGTTAACATTCTCTCTAGTCCCAGTAATATTTAGTTTACCTTTGAATTAGTTGTAAGGGATGGAAGGAAAGCAAAAGGGCTCTATTCATACATATTCTGAAAACAGATCCAGCTGTTCTGCCATAATGGACACCTTCTGAATGGCAAAGCAAAAAAGCAAGTGAATATTTTAAGAAGCTGCTCCTTGCCTCCTCAGGGCCCTTCTGGTGGCAGGCACAGAACTGCTTGGCAGACAGGCAGGATTTGGGCAAAGGACTGGCTGCTGGGGAGGGGGCTTTGAATAAGCTGGTGCTGTACTTCCTTTTCCCACGTGCTTTCAGCGCAGTTGTGTTTTTAATGTTACCATCTAATTCTGTTTGAATAACACGATCAACCCAGGTGCACTGATCTTGCCTGATTTCAGGAGATAAGCAGGATTGGGCCTCGTTAACATTTGGATAAGAGACCACCAAAGCATCACTGGGGAATCCCAGGGATCCCCGGGGAGGGAGAGGGGAGAACTGTTCCAGGGCTGCTGCTAGTCAGAGCTGGCCACACTGGGCTGGATGGGGATCAAGGCTCTCTCTCCTCCTCTTCTGTTCCTAGTTCGGTTCTGATCCTGTTTCCCCCAATTCATACCTTTGTTTGCTGGCTTGAGTGGCAATTTTGGGAGAAAGGCAGCCTATCTACCAAGCAGTCAACCAAATGGGAAAATGGATTCCTGGATTCTTAGGAAAGGCCACATGCCGGCAAAGCTCTCATCTGATCTCCCTTGAAAGAGTTACACACCCTGCAGAAGTCCCAGGGAACTGAAACAACGTCTCTGTCGGTTAGGAGAGCCATGTCAACTCTCAGTGCTTTTTACAATCTTATCAAAGTTTCCCTTGGCAAGTAACTGGGAAATAATAATTTGTGATGACAAAACCTGGAATGCAGGCAAGGCTGAGTTGCCCAGAACGTATTTTGTTTCGGCATCTGCTCTTTCCTCCCCCCCACCCCAATTATCACATGAAGGTTGGTGGGTGGTGGTGATGGGGGGGGAGACTGAGTGGTACCACACTCAGGTTACTACACTCTGCTGGCTGGCTGTCCCTTTCCCTCCTTGGAGGGACACAGCTCCTCATTCACAAGGCAACCGGAGCCGCCGCTGCTGCAACCCTGGGAACATGCCGGGAGGACACTGGGGGGGGGGGTTGGGTTCTTCTGAAGAGAGACCACTTTGCTGGCTGGAGCCACTGAGGGCCGACTGAGGCTGGCACCCGTCCTGACATCCAGTCCATCTCCCTGATGTCTGGAGAACAAAACAAGCCGGGCTGCCATCAAGCAATAAAAAAGTGTTAACTTATCGCTTGGGAAAGCAGCCCCGAGGGGCCGTGTCATGCCTGACCCCCGAGAAGACAGACTGTCCTCCCGCTCTTCCGCACAGCCCTGGGCAAAGTACAGGGCGTTCAGGAAATTATCTGGAGTTTTCTCCTCTGCCCCCCAACTCTGCACAAGCCCCGGAGAGGGAGCGGCATCCTTCACAGGAGCCCCATCGCAACGCATCGTCTTTGCCTGCTCTCAGAGCTGGGAGGCACTATTACCCTTTGGGGCTACGGCGCTTCTGCGCCCATGGCTGGCTGGAGATTTAGTACAGGAAAGACGCACCCCCACTTTCGAGCCACCCCGGCAGGGTTTGCCTCCCACACTGTTGCTTGCATACACTAACCGTTCCTTTTCAAAATGTAAAGTTGGTCTAAGCCACAGCTAGACATGGAACACATTTGTGCTCCCTGACACACACAGTGCTTTATCCTCACATCTCAGTGGCATTTAAAGATGAGGCAGGATCACATCCATCACTTCAGATGCACCTCTGAGACATACCTACTGAACAACTGAGTGGGGTTTATTGTGAGAGAAGGTGTGTTCGGCTGCAGGTAAAGGTAAAGGTTCCCCTTGACAATTTTTATCCAGTCGTGTTCGACTCTAGGGGGTGGTGCTCATCCCCATTTCCAAGCTATAGAGCCAGCATTTTGTCCGAAGACAATCTTTCCATGGTCACATGGCCAGTGCGACTTAGACACGGAACGCTGTTACCTTCCCACCGGGGGGGCCCCTATTTATCTACTTGCATTTGCATGCTTTCGAACCGCTAGGTTGGCGGGAGCTGGGACAAGCGACGGGCGCTCACTCCATCGCGTGGATTTGATCTTACGAGTGCTGGTCTTCAGACCCTGCAGCACAGGCTTCTGCGGTTTAGCCCACAGCGCCACCACATCCCTTGTGTTCGGCTGCAGTGAGACCCAAAACAACGGATTCAAATGACAGGAGAGGAGATGTCCATGGAAGATTAATATCACCTTCCAGGTGGCAAGAATAGTTTGACACATAGAACAGCCTTGCCCCCCCCCATAATGGAGTGCGCCCTTCTTTGTACATGGTTTTTTTTTTTTCCAAACACAGGCACCAAGGACGCTCTAGCTTCGATTCCTGTCCTGGCCCAAGGGCGGATCAGATGATCCTCTGGACCCTTCCTACCCCACGGTTCTGTGAAGGGAGACAGACGTTTGTTCCACAGTACCATTGGGCAGAGCAGGCCCTTTAAACCCTCATTCATCCGAAGCCGCCTTCCTTCATAAGGAAGGTGCATTTACAAGACGCCACCTCAGTGTTGAGACCAGATTGGTCTGAATGAAGGGGCTCCAGAGGTGCCGTGCAATGCTGTCATGTTTAAGCACAAACAATACCAAATGACCCGCAATAAACCCCAGAACAGGATGAGGGCTTCTGCTTTCAAACGGCTGCTCTCCCAGGTCCCAAAGCTGGGGCCCCATCAGGGATTTCGGGAGTTGTAGCCCTAGCCCCCCCCGTAACCCTTTCAAGCACAAAAGAGGGCGCAGGCAAGGAAAAACCTCCACCGTGGGCTGTCTGTCAGCTGTAAACGTCTCGTTTTGGCCTTGCAAACTTTAACAAGGCATGCCAGTCATGCTTCACAGGTGGGGAAGTACCATCATTTCCACGGCCCCGGGGACACATTTGAGTAAAGCAAGACAAGGCAACTGAAGCACTTCGGGGGAGGGGGTGTCGGGGGGGGCTGTCAGTTGGTTGGCAAGACACTTTATTTGTTTTAATATCACATTAATGAAAGTTTCCTTTCTAAAAAAATGGACAAAACAAACCTGGTGGGCTTGGACTTGCTTCTTGGCACAGTCTCTCTCCTGATAAAACAGTCCTCGTGCCAAGCATCCAAGCCGGCTGGGCGTTAGGCCTCCTCGTCCTCATCTTCTTCATCGCTCACCACGTACTTCCTGTGCTTCTTGCTGGCCTTGTCATCGTCCTCTGCCTTCCTCTTCCCCGAAGTCTCCCCCTCCTGCAGGACAGCCAAAGGCAGCACTAATCAAGGCCCTGATTGTTAAATCAGGAAACCCTCAGGGACCGGACACAGGGCCCGATGAATGTCACACCCAGGCCCACCCCCCGCCCTGCACCCCCTTCCTTCCCATGTCCAGGATGCATTTGTATTGGTCCGCTCTTATGCAGGGGGTGCTGGTGCTGGTGGTGAGCATGAATAACACTGTAGAAGACGGGTGTGGAACAGAAGCTGTAACTAGAGGCCAGATGACCGAGCAGGAAGGAAGATGAAAACACCGGGAAAGAGTGAGCGGGCCAAGGGGTTAGAGATAGTCCGATTCTTTTTAAATCATAAAACCACACACACACAGTAAAGAACATAAAGAACTGGAAGTTGAATCTATTTTGTATTAAGGGTGCACGCACACAGAACACCACAAGGAGCATTTGCTATTTTGAGCAGTTAAACCTTCTTGCCGCGTTAAATCTATACTGTCAATACAGTCACTAATCCCAGCTTGAGCAGCCCTACTGAACCACTTGCTGGAGGGGGATTCGGAAGTTGCGTAACATCTACTGATTCAATGAGTCTACTCCAGGGAGAGCTTGCAATTGGGTTTGGGGCGAAGCATGCAAAATGAGCCTCCTTTCCTTGGTCCCGTCTTTCTCCAGGCACAAGGAATGACCAACTGAAGCTCCGAGAAACGCCAAGGAGCAGCAACCCTCCCTTGGAATGGGTCACTGTGCCCCACCCGCACAGTTAACGCCCCATTCTGCCCCCCCAACCTGGGAGTGGAGCCCTCCCGGTCACTTGCAATTCCAGTTCTTTCTTTTCGCCCACATTCTGACAAGAGGCAAACAAATCTCAACCGATGGCTGTCCTTTCTACTTGTAACACAAATGTACTCCTCCCTTTCCACATTCTTTTTGGAAAGTTCTGCAAACCTCAAAACCTCAGAAATCCTGCAAAGCCCTTCTGCAACTGGTGGCCCTGGAAAGCTCTCCAGAAGCATCCAGCTGCCATGCGAGAGGCAAACATACCAAAATGCAGAGGGCTGAACCTCCCCGAATTTGGTGCAGAGGAGAAGGTGCCCGCACTCTCTGTCTTGCTCTCTCCTCTCTTTGATCCTTCAGCGCCCCCCAGTGGTGAAGACAAAACTCAGCCATCAAACCCAGTGACTTCGAGACAGACACCCCACCCCCAATTCCACAAGCAAAGGGGA